CTTCCTTCCTTCCTTCCTTCCTTCCTTCCTTCCTTCCTTCCTTCCTTCCTTTCTTTCTTTCTTTCTTTTTCTTTCTTTCTTTCAGCATTTGAGTCAGACTGAACTTTCTTCAGGTCCTCAAACACATTTCGCTTTCTCCTCTCTCTGCGCCTTTGCACTCACTGTTCCCTCTGTCTGAGATATCACTCTTCCTCTCAACCCACTGCCCCATTGGGCAAACTCCTGCTCATTCCTCATGCTCCTGCTTGGTCTTTGCCTCCTCCAGGAAGCCTCCCTTGGACTCCCCCCAAATATCCCCAAAGCCCCTGTGCCGTTGTTGTGTACCTGACTCACTTCCCTAGGACCGTGAGCCCTGACACTGACAGCGGGGAGCTACTCTGCCCCGTTCACACAGCATCCCTGGTGCTCAGCACAATGCCTGGTGCACACTAGGTCCTCAGAAGGTAGCTGTTGCCCGAATACCCCCCTCCAGTCATAGGAGACTACGTGAAGGCAGAGAAGGGACCCTGGGTGGAAGAACAAGACAGGACCAACTTACTCTTAATGCCTTCAAATAGCACAGCCTCCCCATGGCCCTCGTGTAGCTGCTCTTCGAACAATCTGTAGCAGGACCTGGGGCTGGCCAGGAGCAGCTTGAAGCCCTAGAGGCAGAAACACAGGGGTCAGAGGTCAGCTTTGCCCCTGGGGCTCCCAGAAATGTGGGCGTGGACCCAGGTTGGCCAATCTCCTTTGTGCCCTCTCCTGGGGTTGAAGGAAAGCTGGTCAGGCATATAAGGCCGGGCCTCCCAAGCAGAGTGCTGAGCAATGCTTGGGAGCCCAGGGAGCAGGCGTGTGGCCTCCTTTGGGTAGCCCCTCCCCCCCCAGACTGCACCTTCTTGTGTGCTGGGACGAAGCTCAGGAACTCATCCACGTGACCCACCGACAGCCAGTCAGAGTAGAGCTTCACTGGGGCCTGCACCTGTTGGGCACTGAGGAAGTCCTGCACGGCCTGGTGCATCTCCTGGCTCTCAGCACTGCCAACACAAGATAAAGGGAGTGTTACAGGGAGCAAGGGGCAACAGGAGGGCCTCTAAGGGAATGGAGGCTTGGCAAAGGGGTCGAGGTTCTCCTTCAGCTACGGAAGGGATTCAGAAGCCTGGATACCTTTATTCTATCCTTAAACATTGGAGGAATTTATGATTTGCCATTCCAGTTTTTTTGGGGGGGAAATTGAGGCACCAAGTCAGTACAGTGAATAAGACCAGAGCTTAGCCTCAGAAAGCACTGCCCATTGACTCAGCCCAGATGCTGGTGTTGTGGGTAAATATGGGGTTTGCCCATATTATCCACAGCGACATGGAGAGCCGGTCCAATCTGAGTGGGTAATCCCTTGTTAGTGTACTCTTGGGACATTCCTTCACCTCTATGGGCTTCAGTTTTCTCCTTGCCCCTTGGTCTCTAAGGGTCTTTATGATCTAGCCCTTTGCTCTCTCTCATTCAGTCTATGCCAGCCACTCTGGCCTTCTTGAACACACCCAGTTCAGTTCTGCCACAGGGCCTTTGCACATGCTCTTTCATCGGCCAGGAACCCTCTATCCCAGATCTCCCCACAGCCATGTCCTTATTGTCATCGGGCCTTAGCTCAAGAGCTATCTTCTCAGTGAGGCCCTCCTTAGTCACCCTAACATTCCCATTCCTCCTCTGCCCCTCTCTTTTTTGTTTTCTTTGCTATTTGAAAGTATCTTATTTGTTTACCTTTGTGTCTCCCCCACTAGGATAGTGGCAAGGCCTTGTCTGTCACACTCATGGCTGCCTTTCTTCCCAGCACCTGCATAGTGGCTGGCACACAGTAGGTACTCAGTAAATAGTCACTGATGGAAAAGGATGTTAAGTGGCTGAGCTGGAATTTGAGCTTGGGTCTACCGGGCTCCTAAGCTATATTCGTCACTCTGCACTTGATTCCTGTCCAAGTCCCTAAATTTTATTGAGGCCCTTGGGTTGGGAGCAAGTAGGGAAGGCTTCCATTGCGGCCTCTGCTTTTCCTTGGCATCCCTGGGTCTCTCCTTCCCCCTTCCGCCCCTGCCCTCCTCACCTGGGGTACCTGCTGCTCCCAATGAGGATCCTGCCCAGAGGGTATTTCTTCCTCCTGACCGTGACTGGGGGGCTCACTTCCAGGTTTCCAAAGGAGTCGAAGGTAGTCACCTCTCCTGTTTCAGGTCCTCGAGTCACATAGCCAAAATCTGGACCCTGACATGGGAGAGGCACGGGCCAAGTGTTAGAGAACACGGCCCCTGCGTGAGGACAGGGTGGGGGCCAAGCCACAGGCAGGATTCGGTAGCAGTCCGAGCGGGTACAGAGCGGGCACTGCTATGATCTGGGGGATACGGAAGGAGGACTGCCTCAGGTGGTAAGAAAAGGGCCGAGTGCTTGTTGAGTACTTGCTGAGTACGTCATGGGTGCCCACTGCTTTGTAAACCTTAACTCGGGTATAACAATGAATCTATAAAGTATCATTTTTGTCCTCATTCTGCAGAGGAGAATGAAGGTCAGAGCGGTGGGTGGCTTCTTCAGCCCCACAGCCTGCTGGTGGAGGGATCTGAGCTGTCTCTCCAGCAAGCCCTCTAGGACCACACCGTGTTGCTTCCTGACTGGGCTGGAACTGGCTTCACCCAGTGGCTGTGATGTCCCCGCGTGGATCTTCTTGGGGAGAATGGGTGGACGACACGTCTCATCCCCTCTATGCATTTCCTACGGCTGCTGGAACACATCCAGTAGGGGCTTAAAACAACACACATGTATTCTCTTTTGGCTCTGGAGGTCAGAAGTCTGAAAGCTGTCTCGCGGGGCTAACATCAGGGTGTGGGCGGGCTGGTTCCTTCAGGAGGCTCTGAGTCCATTTCCTTGGTCTTTCAGCTTCTAGTGGCTGCCGTGGCTGGTGGCCTCTTCACTCGTCTTCAAGGTGCATTGCTATGTCCTGTGTTTCCACCATCACATGCCTTCTCCCACTCTGTCTTCCCTCTTCCAAGGAGCACCATGTTGGTAGGCAGCCCGCCAGGTAACTCAGGGGCACCTCCCCATCTCCGGGTCCCTGACTTAATCACATCTGCCAACTCCTTTTGCCACAGGAAAGCATCAGGTCCCAGGGGTTAGCACAAGGCTGTGTTTGAGGGCCACCATTTTGTCTACTGCACCAGCCCTAGCTTTCTACGAAAGGGAGGTCGTTCCCAATCCCTCTTCTCCCTTCCTCTCTAACACCCATGCCGGCCTGACTCCTATGCCCACTGTGCCCTGGAAACTTCATGACCACACAGCTGAGCCCAAAGGGCAGTGCCCTTCGGCACTGGGCGGGTCTGCTGGTCCACCCATGTCCTCCGCCCACTCTCTGCGCTTGGCCTTCCTGACACTGCGGGCTCTGGGGTCCTGCCCCTCCGTCTCCTGAGCCTGGGATGGAGTGCCCCTCAGTCTTGCCCCAAGTGGAGCTGCTGAGCCCTCTACCCTCATCCCCTGTCCCTCCCACGGTCCTCCCAGCTCAGGGAATGGTGGCCACTGCTCACAAATGTCAAAGCCTGCTGTCACCTTTGGCTTCCCTCCCTCTCATAGGGGTCAGGGAATCCTGTTGGCTCGGCCCTCAAAGCATGTCCAGAATGTGGCCACTTCCCGCACCCAACCCTGCTCCCCACGTCTGCACCCCCGTCGCCTCTCACGGATGACTGCGCCTGCCCCCACCTCCACACCGCCCGCCCCCGCGCCCTGTCGTCCACTCTCAACAAGGGGTCAGAGCCTTCCTGTTATAACACCCATCAGGTCATAATCCTCCTCCGCTTAAGACCCTGCAACAATCCCCAGTTTCCCAGAGTTTAAACAAATGGCCTTGCAGGGGCCCACAGGACCTGCCCCCCACTCAGTCCCCATCACCTCTCTGACAGTCTCTCCTTCCACCCTTCCTTCATTTCCCCCTCCCCCAAATCAATACAGCTTTTATTGCATCTTTCAAATATCACAAATAAGTCTGAAAAATCATCCGGCATCTTGCTGTTTCTGTAGCTGGACAACATATAATCTTACTCATCAGCCTGCTGAACCGTTCCTTTTTCAGAAACATAGACAACCTCCTCAAATTTTCCGATAGCCTTATTTTTAACTCCTGCGGCTTGCTGAATCAAAGCAGCTGAGTTTGATACAAGTTCAATGTCATTTCCTTCAAGAATTAACTCATCTTTCTGCGCTTGAAGATACTGAACCAGCAACACCTGGCTTCATCCGAACCCTGCAGACACATTTTTCACCCAAGGAATTTTGGATTTCAACAAGAGAACCATTCTCCTGAATAATGACATTGATGGGCAAGTGAGTGTACGCAGACCTCATCTTGTAACGGAAGCCCGGGGCCACGCCCTTGACCATGTTCTGTACCCAACTACAGACAGTACACACAGGGCGAAGGGTAGCCAGCTCTGTTCTAGTGCCCACCATTTGTCCACTTAGAGCCTCTTCTTCTTTCCAAGGAGACTGACTTCTACACTGATGTGATTGAAGTCCCTCCACAGGGCTCCCTAGGGTCCTTCGCAATAACAGCACATCCCTTCAGAGTGATGACATTTTCTGGAACGTTGACAGTCTGATCGCTGAGAATGGTGTTCATTCTCAGTAGATGGGCACAGAGATCCCACCCTTCCTCTTGCTCGATCTGCTCCACCCCTTCTGGGCTCCTCACTCTTCACTGAACATGCCAGTCTTGCTGCTGCCTCAGGGCCTTTGCACTGACTGTTTCTTCTGCCTAGAATACTCTTCACCCAGACAACCATACAGCCAACTCTTTCGCCTCTTTGTGGAGTTTTTGCTCTAGTGTCCGCTTCTCGAAGAGGCCCTACCCTGACCATCCTATTTATATTTGTAATGTAATCCCCCACCACTCTGGCACCTGGGAGCTCCTTGATTCTGTTTTTTTCTTCCTATAGCCCTGGATTCCACTCTCCAACATACAATGTAATTTATTTATCCACTGTACTTACTGTTTATCGTCTATCTTTCTGGGCTAGAATGTTACCTCTGTGGGGGTGGGATCCTTGCCATTGCTCACTGATGCATTCCAAGTGCCTGGAGCAAGGCTGGGCACAGAGAACGGGCTCAAGGAATAGTGGATGAATGAATGAAAAATCCATATAAGTCACTGCCTTGGCCGTTGCCATGAAAGCGGCTGAGTTCCACAGGCTGCAGGCTTGGATTTCTGAGGGCAAATGAAGGTGCCCCCTTTGCAGAAGCGGCCCCCCAGGAGTGGGAGGCGCAGGGGATGCTCCCACGTGCTACCTGATGCAGCTTCCGGCACAGACTTAGACATGCGTCACCCTGTTCGCTCTCCTCTAGTCTCTGTTCACCGAAGCCCCAGAGTGTGCAGATCCATTCCTGAAACCTGCTGATCTCTCATTTTACTAGCCGGAGAGCAAACCTTGGCTCAGCTCTTGCACTCATTCGTATCGAGCTGGCTTTAATAGCATTATTTTGTTTTAATTCTGTTTACCTTCACGGTTGCCTTCTATTTATGGTAAGCACCGCTGGTTTTCCACTTAAAGGTGGTATGACACTTACTGACATTGTCTTACGGGAAGAATACCCAGTGAGCGTCAAGCTGGGTGCTAAGCGACCTGTGAACAGGGATGGGCACCACGGCCTCAGACCCTGCCCTCCTGGTGCTGACGGTCTAGCAGGGAAACAACAAAAGGGAAATTAGAAATCAGTGATTTATAACAGAACACACCCAAAGAAACAAATGAGGCGCTGTAACCAAGAATGCCAGGGGCTGAGGTGGGGTGTCCTTCAGCGTCAGGGATGGCCTCACTGAGGAGAGAACTGCAGCGGAGACCTGAAGGCTGGGACACCGTCAGCCCTGTGAAGCGGGAAGAGCATTGGAGGCAGAGGGAACAGCATATGCAAAGGCTGAGAGGTGAGGAGCAGTTGGGCACATTTAAAGAACAGGAAGGAGGCCCGCGGGGTTGGAGCTGGGTGAGGGACAGGGAAAGTGGCCCATGATGATGAGTTTGGAAAAGCCGATGGGGACGTTGTCTGGTGACAAGTTTGACTTTTAGCCCAATTCTCTTCCTGAGTGATGTGAGTCAGAAAACCACAGCCGAGCTTGCCTACGAACACATCGCAGCCCCTAGTCCCAGGCTGGGTGTGGGAGAGGGGAGGACCCCTGTGCTGAGGCATCTGTCGGCCTGGCAGGACTCTGGAGATGTGGCTGGTGACGTCGGAGAATCTGGCCTCTGTCACGCGTGGAATGTGGAAAGAGGAGACAGGCCACTGCGCAGAGCAGGGCTGCAAACAGTGGGAGGGGCCACAGTCCCAGCAGGCCAGCGGCGGTCCTGAAACAGGATTGCCCCGACCCCGGGCAGAGAGACACCGTGGACCCTACGAAATCTCTGCGTTGGCACCACTCAGCGCAGGAGAGTGAGCGAGACTCAGACGAGTTGCTGAGTTGAACTCAGATTTCCTTTCAAAGCCTCCTGTGTGGGCAGGGCTGCCTCCCCTTCCCTGGGGCTCAGGGTGCTCCCCGGAAAGCCTTTCATCAGAGCAAACCTTGCACCCCGCACCCCACACTCTTTCCTCTGCACTTCCCCAGCGCCTGGAGTCAGGGGCTCCCAGCGCCCGGGGTGCATGCCTGGTGGCATGCTGGGCACAGAGCTCGCCGGGCCAGACCCGCCTGGTTTCAGTGTCAGCTTCTCCTCTCTTTTCGTGTGACCTTGGAAAAGTGGCTGTCCTTCTCTGAGCCTCAGTTTCTTAATCTATAAAATGGGCCTGGTGATAGCATCCAGATTAAAGGTTGCTGGACAACTTAAATGAGTCAGTGCATGTAAAGAATTTGGCATCGTGTCTGACACAGATTGCACTCTCGATAAATATAACTATTCCTAGTATTATAATTCTGTGCTGAGTTTACGTGAACCTGCCAGGCTAGTCCAGCATGACTCACCAACATGTCACCCCCACCCCCGCCCCCAAACACATGCAGAGTCACATCTAGGCAATGACCACTCTGATCCCCAAACCCACCCCATATCCCAGATGGACCCACCCACACCTTGCAGCAAGAGCATCTTCATTGGGACAAGGATGCTGCAGCCTGATCTGATGTCCTTGGTAGGGTTATTCTGAGGACAGGCTGAGCTCATTGCTGGAAAGAGCTCTGGGAAAGGGAGAGCCAGCTCTCAACTCAGTAGTGACGGAAATACTGCAGCCCACCTGCGTGATCGCTGCCCCAACAGGAAGTGCACCTACTACGGAGCCGGGGTGCTCAGCCACGGGTGGTGAGGAAGGAGGCCTCAGGCGGGGCGTATCTCAGCAGCCGCAGGCCCCACCTGCACCTACCAGCATGCATTTGATGGGGAAATCCTTCAGGCCCCTGTTCCTCGGAGAGTCAAAGACCACAGGCAGGGTCTTGTGCGGGGCTTGGATGTAGCCGATCTCTATCTCGTCCTGTGCAGAGCAAGGGGAAGGAGGGTTGATAGGCATGCTGTCCGGGTCGTGACACCCAGTGCAGGGAGCGGGGCGTGGACCATTCACTCTCCCCCTGTTGGTCAAGGGCAACTTCCCGTGCAGTGTTCGACCCCAGAGGAGGTGCTCTGAGGAAGCAGAGCTTATTATTCTGTGTATGCACAAACGGGCTCACCCCCACTCCTGGTGAGTGCTGGGGCTAGGTGCTGCAGGTGCTGGGGACTCGGTGAGTGAGCCTCAGGACCTGTCCTCAGGGAGCTGGTCACCTAACACCCAGTGTGAGGAGGTGATGGGCCGAGAAGGAGAGGCTCCTGATGGTGTTGGGACTGGTAGAGAAGGGGGGGCAGGTCAGACCCAGCCTCGCCAAAGGGGCAGAAGTCGGGAGGGCTCAGAAATGCACCTGGGACAAATCCTGTCTCTACCCTGATAGACAGATGTGATGTCAGACGTGACCCCTCTTAGTCTGAGCCCCCTGAAATGGCCACACTTGTAGGTCAGAAATGGGGCGTCCAGCAATTTTAGACTGTTCAGTCCAACTTAATACAGACAGGACTTCAGGAAAGGAAGGGAGGGTGTTCTCTGTGGGTTTAGGGGAGGGATGGGAGATTTTTGGAGGGGAAGCTTTCGAGCTGGGATTGTACAAGCAGAACCTGGATGTGGGGGATGGGACCGGAGAGGACAGCAGAGAGAGGGGACAGCATGAGCAGAGGCACAGAGGTGCTGGGAGCAGGACGAATGGCAGGGAAGGGCAAAGACCCCGAGAAAGCAAGCGAGTGGCGAGAAGGCTCGCGAGGTCCAGTCGGCAGCCACTGCCCCACGCCGGGTGCTGCGCGCTGAGCTGAGTGAGACTCAGTTTCTGCTCTCGGGGAGCTCATGGCATGATGAGGGAGCCTGGCACAGAAACAACAGCGATACAGGGTGGACAGCTGGCTGGCAAAAGGCCTCTAGGCCCAGCCCCAGGAGCCTGGGGCCTCCGGTGTCCCCTGACCCTCAGGAAGGTCCACCCGGTGTGGCTCACCCCTGCCCCACAGGGCCACATACCTGCATCCACCGGTCATCCTTGCTCTGTTCCTTGGAGGGGATGGTCAGCTTGCACTTGGCTTCCCTGGCCAGAGCTGTCACTGACTTCAGGAAGTCCTTGTTTTCAAGCACCCTAGAAAGAGCAGAAAAGAAGCCCCTTAGTGCTCTGGATTCAGTGGACAGTGGCCTTGGCCAGGGACCCCTGCAGGGTCCCTAGGGGTGGAGCAAGAGCTCAGGCCTGGACGGAGTGGGGGAAGGGCAAGTGGCTGCTGAGGAGATGCTCGTGGCCTGGATGGAGATGCCCGTCTCATCCTGTCTCTCTGCTCTTAGCAAACATCTCACTGAACTCTTGCAACAACCCATGAGGGGACTAGCTGGTTGCCCTTCCGTCCGGGAGAAGCCACAATGAGGAGGTCAACGCTCAAGGTCATGCCATCTGGGGAGACAGCACCGGGATTTGAACCCAGGTCTCGCTGGCTTTCAGCCTCCGTCCTGGCCTCCAGGCAACCACCAGGACACCCCTCACCCCTTCTGCCCGGAAGCAACCACAAGAGAAGAGGGGAGGGTGTCCCTGAGACCCCAGCATACACAACAGGTGCTCTCAGATGGCAAGGTGGATGCCAAGGCTCCCCAGAGCAGCTTGTTAAAAGGCAGATGGGCCCCTTCCCCAGACCCCAGACCCCCCAGTTCTGACGTTGGCCGGAAACATGCATTTGAAGTGGTTTCTGGTGCGGAAGGTCCACAGGCCACCCACTGAGCCCTGGCAGTCTGGCTCGTGGACTGAGGGTTTTCATCTGCCACGTCTAGCAAACGCTACGGGCCTTCAGGAGAGAAAGCCGCCCTCCGCCTGCATTAGGGCAGGAGAGTGAGGACCAAACAACAGCAACAGGAATTTCCCTGCCTTTTTATTCCAAACTGGCCAGAAGCCCGCGGCATGTGGCCGTGAGGGTCATTTTTCCCCATTTACACAGCAGATATTTCGGGGGGAGGCCCTGTGGCCAGAACCCAGGGCCCTTCCTGGTGCATCTATGCCCCACCCCCTGGCACCCCAGGGCCCTCACCTGCACACGTACACCTCCTCCGGGGGCTGAGTGTTGGGGGTCATGATCCAGGGGGCCACACGGAAGACCACGCTGTCTTGGAAAAGCAGGGTGGCGGGGAGCTCCTGTGAGGCATGGGTGAGGCCAGGGCTGTCACCGCAGCCGGGGCCTGACACCCACCACTTCCCGGCTGGGCTCTGCACCCCGACCCTTGAGCTGGGCCAAGGCCCAGTAGCTAGGGTCTCCCCTTGGGCTGCCATCTTGGCCTACCGGGCTGGACATGTCCAGCAGGGAGACGGTGAGGGAAATGAGCCCCGGGAAGTTGACGTCTGGGAAAGCGAGGCCCTCCACGTAGAAGTCCACGCTGTGCTGGCCGCCCGGGAGCTCCAGGCGGTGACTGGGCTGCTGTGGCCCCAGGACCGGCCTGTACCTGGAGAACTGTTTGCCCCCTAGTGGAAAGAAGGAGGCTCAGGTCTTCGTCTCCCCAGTGCTGTGATATCTTCCCAGGGCCACCACTCTCAGGACGAAATGTCACAGCTAAATGGAGCCCCCCCATAGGAGAAAGAAACTAAAATGTCAGGTGGGACATCGCCCCCTGGCTGGGGGTCCAGGGATGGAGTGATGGGGGCGTGCCTGAGCCAGTCCCAATCACATACATACACACATTATGGTTCATTCATTCATTCATTCATTCATTCATTCTGAGCACCTGTTCTCAACTGACACCTGGGCAGACCAGGGAGGTAGTCACTGTCCTGGTCCCCACGGAGTACACAGCCTCCTGGGTGAGGAAGGAGGAGCAGAGACAGTCAAAATCACAATGGTAATGAGTGCTGTGATGGAGAGAACCCAGGAGGGCCAGGGAAGGCTTCCTGGAGGAGGTGATGCCTCAGCAGGGACAAAGAGTTGGTTTGTCACTAAATCACTGTCAGTCCAATCACTTTGATCTATAACGGAAGTAAGTCAGATCAAGTCTTGCCTCTGCACAAAGCCCTCAGATGGCTTCCCCCACGTCGTCGCTCGGACTAGAAGCCAAAGGCATTCCATGCCGACCTCCCCTTTCTTCTCCATCCTCATCCGCCACCTTAAGGCTGGTATCCTGCACTCCAGCCACACTGGCCTCCCTGCCTGCCTTCCTCAAGCCCACAGGCACGATTGCACCTCAGGGCCTTTGCACGTGAGGTTCCCTCTGCCCGGAATGCCCTTCCCCTGGGGGGTCTGCGTGGCTGTTCCCCACCGCCTTCTGCTCAAATGACACCTTATGAGGGCAGCTTTCCCCAGCCCCCTCCCCTCACACCCAGACTCTACCCTTCATCCCCACCCCCTTCCCTGTTACATTCTTCTGCACAGCATTTAGCACCATCAGACACACTAGAGGTTTTACTTAATTATTTTATACATGGTCTCTCTCAACCCCTCAAGAGGAAAGTGACATGAGGGGCTTTGTTCTGTTCTTTGCTTGTGAGCTGCTGAGAAGTTAATGCTGTCATTGATGAGCAGGATGCTGGAGAACACACTATTACATAACGCACACAGTCAGCTTGGATTCAACAATCCCTGTGAACAAGAGTCGTGTGTGTGTGTGTGCGTGTGTGTGTGTGTGTGTGTGTGTGTGTGTGTATGGCAGAGAGGAAGAGACAAACACAGTTACAGCAGTCCTTGGGAGGGAGGCTATTTCCTCCTTGGTGCTCACCAGCACCAGACATCAGCTTCTTGTTTGTTGGCATTTTGTCTGCGTGCTCTTTCTAGAAGGGAGCAGCAGGGTGTCCATCTTGCTACTGCTCTATCCCTGGTTCTTAGAACGTGCTACAGAACAGGCGCTCAGGAATTATTTGCCAAAGGGGGACGCGAAGGGGCTGTGCTGGGGCAGGAAGGGGACCCCGAGGTGGGGGCCGAGGGCGACTCACGGCTGGCTTGAAACACCCTGACTTTGTCCATCTCCGATTTGGCCACATGGAGGAGCAGCTGGTGCTTGGTGAAGTCCCTGGGGGTGTTGGTGTACAGGGTCAGCAGGGACATGTCCTGCAGGTCTGGAACGAGAAGGCCCTCTCCCCTCTCACCACTCCCCTCAGAACCACGCCCCCCCCGACCCTGTCGCCTGGTTTTATTTTTGTCATGTTCTTGCCAGGATTTAAATAATGGTTTTCATCTTGGAATTAAAGCTAATTACGTTTTTGGTCCTCTCCTGTGAGAAGGAGCTTAGGAGGCAAGCTCAGTGAAGCAGGGGCCACGACTGTCTTGCTTATTGCTCTGTCCCCAGCCCTTGGCAACTACCTGTGGAATGACGGGTGGATGGGCTTCTCCCCTGGGCCTGAGTGGGAAGTGAACCAACCCAAATAATGGCCAACAAAGGCGTGGGGAGAGTGAAGTGCGACGGTGGTCCCCACTGGGCATTAGTCCCCGGGTGAAGGGAATGGGAGGCAGTGGGTTCGAGCCCTGGATCCGTGGGAGCCTGGGAGTGTTTTCAGCTCTCCGTGCCTCTTCTTCCTTGTGAGTAAACAGAGCTAAGAGTAGTGCCCCCGCAGAGGGACGAGCGGGGTCATACGTATGAAGTGCGTACGGCTGCAGATGGCGTCCTGGGCACGCCCACGAAGGGCACTGGCTATTTTGATTATTACTCTGTGCCGCGCACCACACAGAGGCTGCCCCTTGGCATCAGGCAGAGGCAACTGCATGCAACTTCAAAATGCAGCCACTGTTGCTGTCCTAGCAACTCCCCAGGAAGGCGAGAGCTGCTGCCGTGGCTGGCCAACCTCACGCCCCCAGCGCCCTCTTCCATCCCAGCCACACCTCAGAGGGGTGCCGGCAGAGACCCTGCGCCCACCACCATCCTTGTGCCCCCAAACCCGCTGCGGTGTCGGGATGCCTGGGTCCAAATCCTGAGCCCATGACTTACTGGCTGTGTGACCTTAAGCAAATTGCTTAGCTTCCCCCTGCCTCAGTTTCCCCATCTGTAAAATGGGGTTGAGGACAGTACGTACTTCCAAGCCTCGTACTGAAGGACCAAATGAGTTAATAATTCTGAAGTGGTCAGAACAGTGTCCAGCATGTGGCAGGGGCTCGGGGCTGCTCTGACAGGACTTTGGGGCAGTAGTCCGGCTTTCATTTTAAATTATTTCAGGTCCCAGGTTTAACCCAAGAGCAGAAATTTAGGTTGGGCCATGGACCAGAGCATGGGGCCCGGAGGAGGCATTGGGGGGATTCAGCCCTGGTCCCAGCTCTTCTCTGGCTGCTGTGTGACCTTGGCCGAGTCACTAACCCTCTCAGGACCTTGACCATTCTTCTTATACAATAGATAAGCTAACAAGAACATGCTTCCAATAACCCCAGTCTCTGAGGGCTGTTACTAAGCTCAGGCTGCGTAGACAAAAGGGCTTTACAAAAAGACAAAGGTCTATTTTCATTAGCTCTCTGGGCAGCAGGGAGGCTGGGGGGTGGGTGTCCTTACCTTTGCTGTCGAGCACCTCATCATCCCTGCAGTCTATGGTGGAAGATTTGGGATTATCTTTGTCACAGTTCACCAGCAGGACGGCGCCTTGCCCGTGGGGGCCCCAGGTCCAGGTCCTCTGTGGACACCCAGCAGAGATGGGGCGCGTTCAGAAACCTGCGTATGTCCCTCCAGCTCTTGGGGAAGCATACCCACCTTCCCCCAGCACCTCGATAGCCTTGTGTGGTTTACACATCTCGCTCCCACATCAGTGAATTCTTTAGTACCAGGAGGGGGTTGTTTGCCTGCTCCAAAAATCCTAAACAGGGGCGCCTGAGCGGTTCAGTCGTTAAGCGTCTGCCTTCGGCTCAGGTCATGATCGCAGGGTCCTGGGATCGAGCCCCGCATCGGGCTCCCTGCTCTGCAGGAAGCCTGCTTCTCCCTCTCCCACTCCCCCCTGCTTCTGTTCCCTCTCTCGCTGTGTCTCTCTCTGTCAAATAAATAAATAAAATCTTAAAAAAAACAAAAACAAAAATCCTAAACACATTCACCAAAAATGCAACTCATCCACTTCAAAAAAGGACGCCATGACAGTAAAATTGATTTTAACAGCTTTAAAAAAAACTGTCAGATTGGCAAACCGGACTGAGCTAAATATTTATGTCAAGATTCTGATCTAAATCATTACTCTTATGTGAACTCTTAATTACTTATTTGCCAAAGTGTGGGTACTATTCTTAGCAGCCAGTTGCTGTCCGTCCAAAGATTAAAGCAAACTAAGCAGCCCCTCCTGGTAGGGATCTAACAGCAATGACATCTTCTGTTTGCAGGACAGCGTTGGCCCCCAGGAATGACAGCGTTCTGGGTGGCACAGAAAGACGGATTCCACTCCCAGAGTTGTAATTCCTCCCTCCACTTTTGGCTGACCCCACAGAAGGATCTCCATCTTTTGACAGGGCATATCCTCCTAAAGTGCACACCAGCATTAAACTGTGCAGGTGGCTTTGGGATTTCAGGAACACCCTGGGGTTTATCCGCAGACCCAGTTAAGACTACCTGCATGCCCCACCTCTGCACACACCACTGTCTCTGAGCAACAGACTTTCCCAGCCCCCGCGTGGCTCCTTCCCTCTCCTGCCCCCTGCCAGTTTGCCCTTTCTCTGTGCTTCGCTCCCTGTGGGCAGCACCGTGGGAATCTCTCCCATTAGCCTGGAAACCCTGGGGTGGGGGGATTTTTTTTTTTTTCCGCCAGAGTTAAGAACAGCCTGCAAATTTTTTCTCTGTTGTACATTAACCAGATGACTCTGTGGCTTATAATTTGCACAAAACATTCTCTAAACTCACAACCAGTGAAAATCTAGTTTTGCAAAAGAGATGGGAAATATACAAATCAAAATGGTAAGGGTGATTTTAGTTTTCTCCTTTGCCTTGTTCGTCCTGGAGGGACAGGCGGCCATTCGTGCCATGACCACCAGGGGGCGCCAGAGGGAAACCCAGCAGAGGTAGAGAGCACCTGGCGTGTCAGGAGGCTTGAACGCACCTGGCCCTTCTTGGCTCCAGCGGGCTTCACTTTGCCAGTGCGGGCGATGTCCGTGCTCAAGGAGATTTCTGCAATCCCACCGAGTAAGAGGAGAGGGTTGGTGAAGGTACAAGGTCAAGGCACTCAGTGTGGTTCCCCAGGAGACTGTCTGCCCCATGGCTTCTCTCCCTCCCCTTCCGAGGAGACACAAATTCAAAGACACCCCCGTGTCCCCAAAGAAGATGTTGGACTGCAACTCAGCCAGAGCTGGAACCTCTGACTACACCCATTCTCCTTTGCAGGGGGTTGGGGGGCTTTGACACAGCTGTGATGCCGACCAGTCTCTATACGTCTAGTCACCTTCAGGGGTTCAGAAAGATTTCCTGGCCACCCCAATGGGATGCTTGGAGCAAAACTCCTGCAAGGACACCTAGCCAGGCTCTCAAAGGCCTCTGGCCCCAACTCCAGTAACCCTGGGGTGGGGGACACCGTGGTTACTCCTACCCCACCTGGCTCTTCCTAATGTGCATTATGGCTTCAGTGGGGACAAATCGTGGCAGTGATTTGTCTACTCTACCCAGATGTCAAGGCTGAGAAAGCATATGTTTGTTTCTAAATCCTTCCCACCCTCATCAGAACACGTGATCACAGTCTTTCCAGTGACATAGATCCGTGTGCCCACATTCATGGGTAGTGACCTTGTGAGCTCACAGTGGGAGACCGACCTGGATGACCTTTTAAACACATGTCGTGCCAGAGCAGCATAGAGTTTAGTGCTCTGGATTCCCGGATCCTTCACTAACCAGCTTCATGAACTTAGGCAAATCTGCCTACCTCTTGTGCCTCGGTTTCCTTATCTGTAAAATGGGATATAACAGTACCAATTTCACGGGATTTGTTGTAGGGTTTAAATGTAAAGTCTTAGTGCAGCGCCTGGTATAAAATTAGTGCTATATTATTCCTGTTATGTAAATGTGCATTCATGAAATAAATGTGTATTAATGAATGAAATTCGTTAATGAAACGAAACCTGAAGTTTTCACACGCTGTTCTGATATTTAATGCATTTAAATGGTAATGATAATCATATAATATTACTGTTCAATATGAGGTCAAGTTAGAAAATTATTTTATTTAAAGAATGTTAAATAAATATGAGTCTAGGCAGATCATTGATATGGCAAAACAGTGAAGATAGGACGTAAGTCATGGCATTTCGGGGACGTAAGTCATGGCATTTCGGGAACATCAGTCTATATATTATTGTATAAGACAGTGTCATCATCTACTTTTCTTATAAATATAAATATTTGAAGTGTCAAAAAGGTATAGAGACTCATATGTGGAAAATCCACGTACCACTTCCTATGTCGAGAAAATATTAAGATGTAATTGAACTCCCTGTAAATGCCCTCTGTCTCTCTCCAGTTGAATTACTTTATGGTTCACTGACTGGGGAAGGAATATTTATGAACCACCAGATGTATGACTAGGTAGAAATTGTCCCTTTTCTCTGCTCAGTCTAAAGTAAGCTCCAAAGTGTAGTTTCTCCTGGGGAGAGACAGCTTGCAAGGGTGTGTGTGTGTGTGTGTGTGTGTGTGTGTGTGTGTGTGTGTGTGGAGAGGGGCAGTGGCATCCCAAGGTCCTGGTCATCACTTACCAACACTGGTGACATAGAGCAGGGCTTGGACGGGGTTGGTCTTGGGTCCATAATATGAAATCTGAACCTAAAGGACAGAGGAAACCACGAAGGTCTTCTCTTAGTCATTCAACTAATACTATTTGGACTCCTGCTCTGTGCCAGTTCAGGGTGAGATGCTGAGGAGACAAGGATGAGCAAGAAGTGGGGCCAGCCTATAAAAGCACCCCAACTGGTGGGCGTGGGGGGGAGCAAAGTACTCAAATGCCTATGATACTTAGACAAGAGTTCTGTGGGAGCCCAGAAATGGAAGGGCTGAGCCAGCCTGGGTGGTATCAGGGAGATATACTTTGAGGGAGGGGTAGGAGCTCAGCAGCTGGAGATGTGGTGGAGGGGGCATCAGAGGGATGGCACTGGCTGTAAGCCACAGAAACTGGCTCTGGCAAGCAGAAGGGGTGGAGAGGACCTGAAGAACCAGACCTTGGAAAGGCTGGAGCCCGAGCCCTCTGAGGATCTGGGGAACGGGAGCTTTGGATGGGAGCTGGTCTCTTCAGGGCAGGTCGAGGTCAAGAAACACCAACCCCCCACTGCCTAGGGTTCAAAATCCAGGAAGAGTGGATCTGACTGGCCTACCCTGGCCAGAGGAAGGCAGAGCATCAGGATGGACACTTTTAAGCAAAATGGCAGAGGGGAGTTCCCCAATGCAAAACCAAAGAGCTGCCACCAGAAGAAGAGACACTCCTGAGGGGATGGACTGAGGCGTCTGGGTCTGTCCTGTAGATAGTGGGGACCCAGGGAAATAGCACAGCCACCATCACCTCATATCTAGAACACGGCGTCAGCCTCTAGTTGACTGCCTGGATCCAATCTACTCAGGACCCTGCAGCCAGTGGGGTCTTTCTAAGACAAATGCGGACTTGTAACTCCCTGGATGACAGGTTTTCACTGGCTTCCTGTTGCCTTCAGAAAATGAGGTCCCTGGTGCCAAACTCTAATACTGGTTCCCTCTCTCCTCCACTTCCCTCTTCACCTTCTCTCCTTGCCATACATATCTTCCTCAGTTTCCCCAACACATGCCTGACCATCTCCTCATCTGGACTGTGCACATAGGCCACATACCCCATGTAGAGTTCTCACTCCACTTTCCCTCTCTTAGGTGGGTCATTCCTACCATCCTTCAGCTTGCCACTTCTTCCAGGAAGTTTTCCCTGATTGCACCCTCACCAACCTACTTTGATGGCCAAGCTCTGTGCTCCTATAGTAAGCAAGAAGTCTCTGTCCCAAGGGGAAGACCGAATGGCCTGTCCTACTGGAAACAAGTGCTCATTGGCTCAGATCTCTGTGGGAACCCCAGAGGCTCCTGTTGAGCTTATCTACAGTTGGAGGGGGCGCAATGGGTTGAGTGGTGGTCCCCAAAAATATATGTTCACATCTGAATGCCTGAAACCTGTGAATGTGACCTTATTTGGAAAAAAGGTCTTTGCAGATGTAGTTATGGGTCTTGAGATGAGATCATTATGGATTATCCAGGGAGGCCTTAAATCCAGTGACTTGTGTCCTTATCAGAGTGAGGCAGAGGGAGATTTGACAGCCTGAGGAGGGGCAACGAGACCACGGAGGCAGAGATTGGAGTGACACAGCCACTAGTCTAGGGAGCTGAAGGAGGCAAAGAACTGGTTCTCCCCAGAGCCTCCAGAGGGAGTACTGCTGATTTTGGACTTCTGTCCTCCTGAGAGAATACATTTCTGTTGATTTAAACCAGTAGTTTCTGGTCATTTGTCCAGCAGCCACAGGAAAAGGGCATGGACCAGAGCTTCCCAGGGCTGCCTGGCTGTGGCCTCATAGCACTCACCACCACTCATAATGGCTTACCTGTATTTTACCCACCTGTCTTGTTCCCTTCTGTGTCTCCAATGCCTGGCACTGCCTGGCATGTAGGAGGTGAATACTAAACATTTTCTGAATGGATGAGTTTAGTAAAAACCCGGCTTCCCTAAACCCCTGGCATCCCTGTATTGTCTGTGAGGATGCCTATGGCTGGAACAGTCTCTATAGTATCCAGAGAGAAGGAAGCTCTGCTAGGGTTGGGGACCAGTGCAGGACGGACTGAGCAGCTGACCTACTGCCATCTGCTGACCTCCTCCCACACATCCCACCCCACGGCTGCCACACTCACCTTCTGGTCACCTGTGCTACCACTCACAGCTTTCATCCTCAGGCTCACCTCCAGGCTAGGGTCCAGGGACCACTTGGAGGAACCTGTGGGATTTTTCTTGGCTGTAGGGCTATGGGCAACATCCACAACCACTCCTGGGGAAGCACTGATGCTGAAGGATGTGTAGCCTGTGGGGGCAGAGCTGTGGAAGAGACAGTGGGGAGGACAGAGGAGCACCGTGAGGGAGGCCTGGCCCACCACTGCTCTCCCAGCGTTCTTCCCTTTCCCCCAACAAGTGTAAACCCCACATGGCAGCCAGTCAACCCTGACCATGGCAGTAAGTACTGTGAGGTTGTCGGGAGATAGTGAGAAACAAAAATGAAAATCTCCTGACCTGAAGGGTTTACACTTTGACTAGGAGAATTGCAGGGGGATGTGCACACGGAGGGTTGTGCATATATAAACAATCACACAGACTTCTGCTTCTGGAATATAACATACCACTACTCCGAAGGACCTTCTTCTTACAAAACAACTAGATTGTGATTAAAATATACTTTTTAGAGCATTGCTAAGATCATGAGACATAAGGGAGATCTCCAAGGACTCCCTTCTCTGTGTGTGCATGCACACACACATATACACCATGGAGGTTAAATTGAGGAACACCAAAAACAAAAGGGAGATATTAAAGGTATCCAGAAAGAAGAGTCAGATCACCTATGAAGGAATTACTATTAGACTGAAAGCAGGTTTCCCAATAGCAACAATGAAATCCAGAAGACAGTTGAATAACATCTTCAAAGTATTTTGAAAAAAATAACTGTTAACTTAGAATTGTGTACCCCACAAAATTATATATTTTTAAAAAGATTTTATTTACTTATTTGAGAGAGTGAGAAAGAGAGCACGAGTGATGGGGGTGTGTAGAGGGAGAAGGAGAAGCAGACTCCCTGCTGAGCAGGGAGCCCAACGTGGTGCTTGATCCCAAGACCCCAAGATCATGACCTGAGCCGAAGACAGATGCTTAACTGATTGAGCCACCTAGGTGCCCCAAGAAAAAAAATTGTACAAATAAAAATACCAAAAAGGCAAAAACAAGTCCAAATATATGTATAATCAAAATAAATGTCAATGTATTGATGTTACTAGTTAAAAGAGAATTTTGGCTTAGATAAAGAAACAAAACTCAGCTATATGATATTTATAAGAGGCACACCTAAAATATAAAGATCCAGAAAAGATGAAATTTAAAGGAAAGGAAAAACATACATTAAACCAATACTGACCAAAAGAGGGCTGGGGTGGGTATATTAATATCAGACAAAATTAATTTTTAGATGAAAAACACACTATTAGCAATAGAGAAGATCACAACCTAATAATTTAAGGTTCAATTCACCCAGAAGAAATTCTAAACTTGTAGGCACCTAATAACATAGCCCCAATACACATATAAGGCAAAACTGATAGAAATACAGGGAGAATTTGACAAACCCATCATCATAGTTGAAGACTTCAAGTCTTCTTTCTCAATCAACAATAGATTAAGCAGACAAAAAATTAGTAACACAATTAACAAGCTTGATTTGGTACACATATGTAGAATTCCTTGCTCCACAACTAGTGAATACACATTTTCCCAAGCAAAGTGCACATGGATCAGTAAAAACATTGATCACATAGTTAGCCCTCAAAGCAAGTTGTAACAAATATTAAAGGATAGGTTACATACAGTGTAGGTAGCACAGTCTTTGATCAGAATCTAACTAAGTTAGGAGTCACTAACATAAAGTCCATTTTTAAGCCCCATACATTTGGAAATTTTAAAACCAGACTTCTAGATAACTTACAAGTCAATGAACAATTAATGGAAATTAAATAATAATACTTAAGACTGAGCAATAGTTAAAATACTACATTTCAAAACTTTTGGGGGAGCTAAAGATGTTGCTTTGTGCCTTAAATGTCTCGATCTTTAAAAAGAAGAGAAAAGCTAAAAAATAAGTATATAAGAAAAAACAGAAAAACCAAATAGAACATAACCTCCCAAAATAAAGAAAATAAAGATGGTAGAAATCTGTGAAATATAAAACAAGTAAATCAACAAAGCCAAAACAGACTAATACAACTGGTAAACCTCTGGCAAGATTGATCAAGGGGGAAAAAATAGAAAAATGAAAAAAATCACTACAGGAAAAGCAGATTATTTTGTAGATAGTTGATAAACTGTCTACAGCATGATAAAACCCCCACAGCATGATTATCGGCAAACTCCCCCCAAAATTTTAAACCTTAATTTAAAAGAAATACTTAAGAATTCAGTAGGGTAGGCAGTAAGGTGGAAAGGCAAAAACCAGTTGCATTTCTGTACACCAGCAGTAGATAGTTAGAAAAATAATTTTTACAAGCAGATATAATTTACATTAGGAAAAAACACTGTAAAGTACCTAGGATAAATCTAACAAAAGATATGTAAGGATTTTATGGAGAAAACCAAACCTATTGAAAGCATTAGAGAAGACCCAAACTAATAGAAAGAAATACCACAAACATGGTGAGGAAGGCTTACTATCATTAACGTATGAATTCCCTCCAAATGAATTGATATATTCAATGGAATTCCAGGGCGTTTCATGGAACTTGACAAGTTGATTCCAAGATTGGCATGGAAAACCAAGGGACTAAGACAGTCAAAGTACTCCTTAAGGAAAAGAAGCAAAATGTAAGGGACTTGCTCTACCAGGTATGAGTTACCAGGAAGCCATGGATGGTGCCATAATGGCTCAGGCAGGGACAAATGACAGATGTAACTTAAAAGAGATTATCCTTGACCTGTGACAGAAGTGGTCTTGTAGATAACCGGGCAAAGGGAAGATTATGTAACAAATGGTGCTGGGACAATTGCTTGCTCATATGGAAAATAGTTAAATTGGATAAATAATTAAATTGATCCCATCCTCATACCATATACAAAAACAAGCTCTGGGTGGATTTACGACTTAAAAACGAAAGGCAAAAATTTGAATATTTTTAAAATAGATTTTACTTTTTAGAGAAATTTTAGGTTCACAGCAAAATTGAGAGGAAGGTACAAAGATTTCCCATATATTTCCTGCCCCCCCCGCCATGCACAGCCTCCCCCATTATCAGCATCAGCCACTAGAGTGGTACATTCATTAAAATTGATAGGCTTACATCGATACATCATAATCACCCAAACTCCACAGTTTATGTTTCACTCTTGGTGTTTTACATTCTATGAATTTAAACAAATGTATGCATAACGACATGTATCCACCATTATGGTATTATACAGAGTAGTGTCATTGCCCTTAAAATTCTCTGTGTTGAGTTCCACTTTCAAAGCATTATGGTCTGAGAATATGCAGGGAATAATCTCAATCTTTTGGTATCGGTTGAGACCTGATTTGTGACCCAGTATGGGGTCTATTCTGGAGAAAGTTCCATGTGCGTTTGAGAAGAATGAGTATTCATTTGTTTTAGAGTGGAACGTTCTGTATATATCTATGAGGTCCATCTGGTCCAGTGTGTCATTCAAAGTTCTTGTTTCTTTGTTGATTTTCTGCTTAGATGATCTGTCTATTGCTGAGAGCGGAATGTTGAGGTCTCCTACTATTAGTGTATTATTATCAATATCTCTTTATTTTGTTTAACAGTTGGCATATGTAGTTGGCTGCTCCCATGTTGGGGGCATAGATATTTACAATTGTTAGATCCTCTTGTTGGATAGACCCTTTTAGCATGATATAGTGTCCTTCTGTATCTCTACCTACAGTCTTTAGCTTAAAATCTAATTTATCTGATATGAGAATTGCTACCCCAGCTCTCTTTTGAGATCTGTTGGCATGAAAAATAGTTCTCCATCCTTTCACTTTCAGTCTGGATGTATCTGTAGGTTCAAAATGAGTCTCTTGTAGACAGCATATGGATGGGTCATGTCTTTTTATCCAATCTGCAACCCTGTGCTGTTTCATGGGAGCATTTAGGCCATTCACATTGAGAGTGATTATTGAAAGAGAGGATTTTATTGTCATCATGTTACCTGTGAAGTCCTTGTTTCTATAGATTGCTCTGTAAATTTCTGATCTATATCACTCTTGGGGTCTTTCTCCTTTTATAGAACCCCCCTTAATATTTCTTGCAGGGCCGGCTTGGTGGTCACACATTCTTTCAGTTTCTGCCAGTCTTGGAAGCTCCTTGTCTCTCCATCCATTCTGAATGACAGCCTTGCTGGATAAAGTATCCTTCAAAATCCTAGAGGAGAACATAGGCAGTAACCTTTTCGACATCGGCCACAGCAACTTCTTTCAAAACACATCTCCAAAGCCAAGGGAAACAAAAGTGAAAATGAACTTTTGGGACTTCATCAAGATAAAAAGCTTGACACAGCAAAGGAAACAGTCAACAAAACAAAGAGACAACCCACAGAATGGGAGAAAAAATTTGCAAATGACACTACAGATAAAGGGCTGGTATCCAAGATCTATAAAGAACTTCTCAAACTCAACACCCAAAAAACAAATAATCATGTCAAAAAAAAAAATGGGCAGAAGACATGAACAGACACTTCCCCAAAGAAGACATACAAATGACTAACAGACACATTTAAAGATGTTCAACATCATTAGCCATCAGGGAAATTCAAATCAAAACCACACTGAGATACAACCTCACACCAGTTAGAACAGCAAAAATTGACAAGGCAAAAAACCACAAATGTTGGAGAGGTTGTGGAGAAAGGGGAACCCTCTTAACACTCTTGGTGGGAATGCAAGTTCATACAGCCATTTTAGAAAACAGTGTAGAGATTCCTCAAAAAGTTAAAAATAGAGCTACCCTATGACCCAGCAATTGCACTACTGGGTATTTACCCCAAAGACACAGATGTAGTGAAAAGAAGAGCCATATGCACCCCAATGTTCATAGCAGCAATGTCTGCAATAGCCAAACTGTGGAAGGAGCTGAGAGGCCCTTCAACAGATGAATGGATAAAGAAGATGTGGTCCATATCTACAATGGAATATTACTCAGCCATCAGAAAGGATGAATATCCAACATTTGAATCAACACGGATGGAACTGGAGGAGATTATGCTAAGTGAAGTAAGTCAAACAGAGAAAGACAATTATCATATGGTTTCATTATTTGTGGAACATAAGGAGTAGCCTGGAGGACATT